AACAGCCCTAGCCCGGCTTCCGAGTCGGGTCATGCAAGAATCACGGCGGGAAGTTTTTCGCTCTGTTCGGCCTTTGGAGGCCCTCACCAGGCCTCGGGACCGTCACAAAACGACTCGGGATGAAGAGCCGGTCGTGTGGAATGGGTCGATCGAGATTTTGGGGGTCGACATCATGAACCAGTCACGATGTCGGGGGTCTGGCTTTCCAGTCAGGAAATTCGGCTTAGCTCGAAGGGCAAAAGACGGCATCGACACGATCTCTCACAGCTCCGCACGGATGTCGTGGATCTGCGCTGGAGCCCCTTGGCGGCGCCGCGCGCCAGGTGGGGGGGTGAGCGCCGATCCGAGAAATCTGCGAGGACCTCCGACAATTTGTGCTCGTGCCATGAACTCTTCCTCTAGTTTTATGTCGGGCGTGTCCCTCTACAGGGGGATTTTCGACGAAAAATAAGAAATACCCGAAAAATAGTCCAAAAATAGTCTGGGGACTATTTTTTGAGTATTTGTTTTACCTTTTTGGAGTATTCTTGGGGTATTTTTGATTTTTCCTGGACAATCCCCCTGTAGGGGGACACGCCCGACATAACTCTAGTTAGGAACTGTTGCTCAGTGTGTCGCTCTGACGGTTCTGGCCCAAGACGCTTCGGCGCGACACGCCAACCCATCCCAGTTCCCAGGTGTCAACGCCCCGAGCCTTTCCGAGGCTCCCGCCCCGCGGAGCGGAGCGACACGTTAGCCGTTCGCCGGGCACGGCGTGCTGCCGGGCCGCCGCCGCGACACGCTGTGCAGAAGTTCCTGACTGTGATTTGGCGGCGAGGACAAGGGGATGGCGCGAGGAGGGTAGCCTTCTAAGAAAGCGGCGCGCATCTCAGAAGGCAGTGGCCTTCTTAGAAGGGTCTGGAGGCTTCTGAGAATGCGTTTTCGAACCGGGAGGGCTTCTAAAAAGACTTCTGGCTTCTCAGAAGCCTCCTCGCCTTCTCGGAAGGCCACCCCCTCGGGCTACACCCTAGTGCCCGCCCAAGGCCTTACTAGCCTGCCGATTTCGGCCAATTCGACCCCTCCCGACTTAGCTGCCGATTTCCGCCGATCCGATTCATGTCGATTGCCGATCCGACTTACTGATTCGATTCTGGGCTCTCCCGCCCGTTAGGGGGTCAGCCATGGCGCAGGGTCTTGCAGGATCCTGCATCGCCAGGGTTGCCGGGTCAGCGTGCAGGATCCTGCAAGATGTTGCAGGATGCTGCGAAGCCCGACTGACCTGGGCTTGCATTGACCCCGGTCAGTATATCCCTGGCAGAAGTTTCTGACCGTCGGTGCCCGCCCGCGCAACCTGCATGTCAGGGTCCAGCTCTGCGGCGGGGCCGCCAGCGAAGCGCTTTATGCTGGCGAAGTGGCCCGCTGGCGCAGCGGTCCGCCAGCGCAGAGGTCTGCCGGCGAAGCGGTCCGCCAGGGAAGCTCGGGAAACAGCCGACGACATGGACATGAATCGGGCGTCGAGTAATGGGGGTGCGACGCAAGAAGTAGGAGGAGGAGGAGGACGAGGAGGAGGACGAGGAGGAGGAGGAGAACGCCCAAATTGTGTTTGTGCCTTTGCTTCTCCCCGAGATTCCGCAGCAGACGCTTCGCCAGCAGCACAGACCGCCTCGCCGAAGAGGCCCCGCAGCAGCGCCGGGGCCCGGGCGTGTTGGTCGCGCGGGCGGCGCCGAGCCAGCCGCGCGGAGCTCCGGACGTTGGTGTGTGCCTGCAGCGTGTTCCGTCGTCGACAAGCTCCTCAGCACCGCCTGCACCCCGCGCCCTCCGGCCACCTGAGGCCCCGCTCGCCCGCGCCCTGTCTCCCCAATTACTGCTTTGCGCGCCCCGCCTAGCTCTTAACCGGAAGAGGCCCGCTCTCGACCCGCAGCGTGTTCCGTCTTCGAGCTCGGGCCAGGGTTAAGTCGGGCCTGTCCCCCCACAGAGGGATTTTCGACAAAAAAAAAAGATACCCCCAAACTAGTCAAACAAAAGTCCAAAAGTAGTATGGTTTTTTTTCAGTTTTTTTTTTTGATTTGTTTGGGGTATTCTTGGGGTATGTTTTGTTTTTCGGCGAAAATCCCCCTGTGGGGGGACACGCCCGACTGAAGGCCAGGGCCGCCCGCCCTGCGGCACCGCCCCATGGCATCAGAAGCTCCCAAACTCGACGAGCGCGTTCCAGTAGTCGCAGGGTAACTACTCGCGAATGGCCTGGATCCCCCGCGGGGGGATCTACGATACATTCTTTACGCTTCGCGTATCCCCACCAGCCCATCTCACAGCAGCAACTCTCGCGAAGCATGCCGACAGTCGTGTTTTTCAGGCGTGTGTCCGCTTGGCCCCGCATATCTCCCCTGTTCCTCCTTCCTCCCGCCTCCTTGTACATCCTCCTTGTGGGGGGAGCGGGAGAAGGACGAGGCGGAGGAGGAGGGAGAGAAAGCGCTCCTCGTGGTTTGAGTCGTTTGGGGTTTCTCGTCCTGGTGTGAGTCGTTCGGGCCCTTCTTCCTGGTGTGAGTCGTTCGGGCTCTTCGTGGTGTGAGTCGTTCGGGCTCTTCGTCCTGGTGTGAGTCGTTCGGGCTTCTCGTGGTGTGAGTTGTTCGGGCCCCTCGTCCTGGTGTGAGTCGTTCGGGCCCCTCCTCCTGGTGTGACTCGTTCGGGCTCCTCGTGGTGTGAGTCGTTCGGGGCCCTCGTCGTGGTGTGAGTCGTTCGGGCTCCTCGTGGTGTGAGTCGTTCGGGCGCCTCGTCCTGGTGTGAGTCGTTCGGGCCCCTCCTTGTGGTGTGAGTCGTTCGGGCTCTTCGTGGTGTGAGTCGTTCGGGCCCCTCGTCCTGGTGTGAGTCGTTCGGGCTCCTCGTGGGGCCTCTTGGCGGCCTCTTGGAGCCTCTTGGGGGCCTCTTGGGGGCCTCTTGGGGAGCTCTTGGCGGCCTCTTGGGAGCCTCTTGGGGCTCTGGGGGCTTCGTGGGGGTCTCTGGGGAGCCTGTGGGGAGCCTCTGGGTGCCTCTTGGGGGCCTCTTGGGGGCCTCTTGGAGGCCTCTTGGGAGCCTCCTGGGGGCATCTTGGGGCCTCTTCGGGGCCTCTTGCGACCTCCTCAGAAGCGCATAGGAGCGCTACCCCCTGAGAAAGACAAAATGAGCCCAAAACCTTCGTAAAAGCAATGATTTTGAGAAGAAGGAAGAGGAGCGCTGCCCCCTCAGAAGGCCAAAATGGGGCCGAAACCGTAGTAAAATCAATGATTTTGGCTTGACAGAAGAGGAGAGGTTTTTTTTGCAGTCCCCCCGTCGGGGCCAGAATCCTCGTGAGGGTCGTCGTTTTTTGGCCCTCCCAGGAGTCGAAAAAGACCCCTCCAACGACCGGCGGGACGCCCTCTCCAGGCCCAGGGGGAGGGGGTAGGGGGAGGGGTAAGCCCCTCCCCGAAGGGGAAGAAGGGGGGTTGGGGGGTTGAGGACAGAGAGAGCTCTCTAAACCACTCACGCCCAAAGGGCTGGTGGGACCGCGGGGGGATCTATAGTCGCAGGGTAACTACTCGCGAATGGCCTGGATCCCCCGCGGGGGGATCTACGATACATCACATCAAATCAGACATGTGTGTTTTCGGACGTTTGCAAATAGGCACTTTGCGAGTAGTGGAACGCGCTCGGCGACAAACGCTGGGGGCGTTATTGTTCCCATGTTCGAGATCGGCGCTTTTGTTGCTATGTGTTCGGGGCAGTTATGTTGCTTGGGTCTTTTACCGGGACTGCCGTCTCGCCGCTCTCGGTTCGAACTGTGGCCGGTTTTTTGAGTGTGTTCCGCTTCCGTGTTTTGTCTGCCTTTTGTTTTCTGTTCCTTGTTTTCTGTTGTGGATTGCCTTTTCCTTCCGGCTTGAGTTTCTGTCTTCCGTTCGTTTTGGGCCCGCCGGGTGTTATGTTCGTTCCGTTTTGGGTTGCAGCTGTCTCCGTTTTGGTCGACCGCAAACCGAACAATTGATTACGAAAACCCAGCGTTGTTAAGAACAACTAAGCCCCTTGCGCGCTCCGCGCGCCAGGGAAGGGGCCTCAGCACCGATCCGAGCAATCCGCGCGGACGTCCGAAAGTGTATGTTTATGTCATGGTTTGCTCCCTAAGCTTTCTCGAGCGATTGATCGCACCCATACAACTGGACGCCCCAAAAGCGGTCTCTCGCCCCGGAGCCCCCCGCCTACTTTCCGGACGCCGGGTGCCCGCTGCAGGCCTGGCGCCCCTGGGCAGCGGAGGTGACGGAGGAGGAGGAGGAGGAGGAGGAGGACCAGTGTAAACCCGAGAGTCATCAACGGTGTTGGAATAATCCCTCCCTTCAAGCTCCCTCTTCAGAGGCCCCTACGAAGGAGTCCTTCCCACTGAGGGAACTGGCCCGTTGGAGGACAACTGTTTGAAGACGATTCCAACGCCACGGATCAAGCTGACTGTTGCGTCTTGACGATCCTGAATCGCGCCAGAACGCCAATCCTAGGACCTCAACACCGCGAATCAACGTAACTGTTGCATCCTCATAATCCTGAGTCGTTCCAAAACGCCATTTCTGGTACGTTGATCACGGGAAACCGGGGAACTCTTGCAACAGTAAGAAAGGAATGTTCGCGGCCTTAAGGCGAGAGCCACATTTTGAAAAGGAACTGCCCTCAATCCGTGAAGCTCTTGCACATTGATATAGCGAATGTGCGCGGCGCTAAGGCGAGAGCGACATGTTGAAAGCCACCTGCCTTCCATCTGTGAAACTGTTGCCAATGCTTATGCTTCAGAGTCACAAGTGGTGAGGAAGTCTCAAGCGAAACTCCCGGCCCGCCCTTTCGACTGGCCTCGGAGAGCGACAGGGAGAAGTTATTCATAAGGACATGAAATGAAGGAAAAAGAGGAGGGAGGGAGGAGGCGGAGGAGGAGAGAGGGAGGGAGGGAAGGAGGAGGAGAAGGAGGAGGAGAAGGAGGAGGTGACGGAGGAGGTGACGGAGGAGGTGACAGAGGAGGAGGCCCGATCCAGGCCTTCAGGGTGGACCTCCTGGCGCCCCTGGGGAGCGCGATGCCGCGCCTGGAGGCGGCCCACGACATCGGCGGCGGCGGCGGGCGAGGGTCGGCTTTCGATCGAGGTTCGGCGGTTGAGGTTCCTTTCGTGCCTCTGGTCGCCCCGAAGATCTTCCCAGAGATCCAACGTATTGGAAACATCAAGACGGAGGCTTTTTGCAGTTTTCGGCCTCTAGGGGCCCCCGCCGGGCCCCGCGACCGTCAAAAGATTATACAGGATGAAAAACCGGTCCGGGGAGTAGTGATATCAGTACCTTTGGTTCCCCCATCTCGTGGTTCCCAGAGTCGGGATACTTCCCGGGACCTCCAGGTCTCCCGACGCCTCCGACGATGCAGGCGGCGGCGGCGCCGAAGACGCCGCCGCCACCGCGGGATATGGACGCGACGTCATTGTCGTCGTCGTCGAAGGAGGAGGAGGAGGAGGAGGAGGAGGAGGAGGAGGAGGAGGGGGGAAGAGGAGGAGGAGGAGGAGGGGGGAGGAGGAACAATGTAAACCAAAGACCCATTAACGATTTTGGATTACACCCTCCCTCCAAGCTCCCTCGTCATAAACCTCATACAGGGATCCACTCCCACTGAGGGAAGCGCCCCCGTGCGAAAATTCTGAAGCATGCCAAACACCATTCTCTGGACTTCAACGCCACGAGTCAACTTGACTGTTGCGTCTTGACGATACTGAATCGTGACAGGACGCCTTTCCTGGGACGTCAACACCGCGATTCAACTTAACTGTTGTTTCCTGACAATCCCGAATGGTTCGGAAACGCCATTTCTGGATTGTTATCCATGAGAATTCGCGAAGCTCTTGTTAATCTGAAGACGAATTTTCGCGGCGCTAGGGCGAGAGCCACACTTTGAAAAGGAGCCGCCCTCAATCCGTGAAGCTCTTGCAATGTTTTCAAGCGAGTGTGCGCGGCGCTGATCGCCCTCAATCCGTGAAGCTCTTGCACATGTTTACGACGAGTGTGTACGGCATTACATTGAGAGGCACATTTTGAAAACGATCCGCCTTCAACCCGTGAAGCTCTGCAGACATTTAAGACGAACGCGCGCGGCGCTAAGGCGAGCACTATGTGTTAAAAAATGGCCCGCCCTCAATCCGTGAAGCTCTTGCAAATGCTGAGGACGACTGTGCACGTGGGGCGAACGCCACATTCTGGAAGCGACTCCATATGTGAAACTGCTGCCAGCTTCTAAGTTTCAGGCTCATAAGAGAGTAAAGAAGTCTCAGCCGAAACGCCTGGCCCGCCCTTCCGACTGGCCTCGGGGTGCGACAGGGAGGCGTTATTCATAAGGAAATGAAGTGGAGGAGGAGGAGGAGGAGAAGGAGGAGGATGAGGAGGAGCAGCAGCAGCAGCATCAGCAGCAGGAGCAGCTGCAGGAGCAGCAGCAGGAGGAGGAGGAGGAGGAGGACGGATGGGGCAGGGGGCTGGGGGAGGATGAGAGCCAGTGCGAGGGGAGGGAGGGAACAGGGCCAGGGGGGACGAGGATGAAGAGGAGGAGGAGGCCGGGAGGCTGCGATGATGTCTTTCTTCAGCCACCAGGAACCAGGAACCTGGAGGAGGTGGGCCAGGATTCGCGCCTGGAGGGCCAAACAGCGGAAGGAGGTGATGGTGCCGCCCTCCCCCCCTCGTACTTCTGCTTCCATTTCTTACCTGTCACTTCGACCTCTATTCTCCGCCTACACCTTCTCCTGCTGCCCATCCCTCTCCCCTCCACCGCATGCATGTATCCCTCCTCCCTCTAAATACTTGTTCCCTGTTGCCCAGATGTCTCGTTAGGGCGGGTCGGGCGTTTCGCCCGGTGCTCCCGCGCCGCTTACGATACTCAAGCCTGAAAATTTCAACAGTTCAACGGATGGAGAAAGGGCTTGTTTCAAAACGGGGCTCTCGCGCTGGCGCAGTGCACACTCGCCTGAGAAATGGTCCACACGGGGGTCTTGGGGCGACGGGGCTCTGCGGGGCGAGCTGGGTGGCGGCGAAGACGACCACCGCCAGGACGGCGGCGCCTACGGGGGCCCACCTGGGCGGGAGGGAGGAGGAGGAGGAGGACGACGAGGAGGAGGAGGAGGACGAGGAGGAGGAGGAGGAGGAGGAGGACGAGGAGGAAAGGAAGCCCAAAGAGCGCCCAAGAGCTCCCCAAGGCGGGCAAAGAGAGCCCGAACGCGGGCCAAGGAAGCGCCAAGACTGTCCAAGAGAGCCCCCAGAGCTCCCCAAGACACGCCCAAGCAGCCCACACAGGCCCAGACTTCCCCATAGGACCCTGATAGGCTGGGAAAAGAACCCCCCCGTAGGCTTGTAAGAGGCCCCACAAAGCCTCGAAGATGGCCGCAGACGCTTCTGGTAGTCCCCATCGTGGCCCCTACAAGTACCGATTGTCCTCACTTCTTCTACGTCCTTCTTCTCATGCTTCTCGTACGTTCTCCTTATTGTCACCTTCTATTGTCCTCATTGTCCTCCACGCGGTTCTTCAATTCGTCGTTGTCCTAGTCGTCATCCCCGTCGTCCTCGTTCTCTCCCACCTTGTCATTCTCGTCCTCCTCGTCTTCTCCAGAGTCTCGTCCTCCTTCTCGGCCTGCCCGGTGTCCCCCCTATGGAACCTCTTCCCAGAAAGCTGGGTCAGCGCTTTTTGACCAACTTGCGGGAAAGCTGGCCTCGTTTCTTAAGCACGTTCGCACCTTCAGAATTCACCGAACAAGTTGGCCCAGCTCTGTTTAAGCAAAGCTTGCCCATGTTTCTTAAACTATGATTGTCTTGATGTTTGATTTTCTTGATCCGATGTTCTGCTGTATTTCTTCATGCTGTCCTCTTCGTCTTCCACGCTGTCGTCCTCCTTCGACTCCTCGTCGTCCTTCTCGTGCTTGTTGCCCTCATCTTCATCCTCGCCCTTGTGCCTGTCTTCCTCCGCGCTGTCCTTCTTCTCACCCACGTCCTTGTCGTCGTCCTCTCCCGTTTTTCCCATTTGTCTTACCAGCCGAGAAGACAGAAGCGGCGCTTCCGCTTCTTGTCTGGTCAGGTTGAACGGCCCATGCGGTGTCAGGAATCAGAGCCCACGTCATCAAGGTAGGACTTTACCGTAGGCGCTCCCCCGGTCTGGGCGTTGGGTTTTTTAGTGCGCCCGCTGCGTCAACGTGCACCAACATTTCTAACAGACGATGAACTCCGAAATGCAGCTTCTTGGCGCCGCTCTTACGTAGCCTGATTGGTCCAAGCTGTTCTGCTCAAGCAAATATCACGCGCCGTTTGAATGATGCATTGTTTTGCGACGGCGAGGCTCCCCCGACGGCCCACAGCAACTGTAATCCGAATCATCCTTCTGGTAGTGCAGCCGGAAGGTGCAGCTGCTGCACTCGACGGCATGTTTTCGACCATGAGGGATATTTTGAATCCGGCTGGCAAGCTGCAAGCACATCATCGTTCACTTGCGATAAAGGTCATTGGTGCGGGCTTGGGGCGCACAGGTACGGGCAGTTTGCATGCTGCTCTGGAGATCCTTGGCTTCCGGACATATCACTTTGCTGAGATGCTGAAAGACATGGCACATGCGTCAACTTGGGGCGACCTTGCAGACGGCCATGCGACTGCAGACCAAGTCATTGACATGATGCTGGATTCTGGGTTCAATGCAAGCGTCGATCTACCATCTTCTGATCTCTATGCCGAGCAGTTGAAGCGTTTCCCGGATGCCAAGGTCATTCTCTCAGTGCGCGACAGCGGTGATCAATGGGCGAACTCTTGGCGGACCCTTATGGGGGTGGCTGCCGTGATGGACAGACCCTTCTCATTGTTATTCCCGTCCTTCCTTCAGTGGATGCCGAGCATGCGTGCGCTGAGGAAGATACGCTGCTGGTTTGGGACGGGCACCATCGGATTGCGTAAGTGTGCGCTCGCATACGGTTACGGGGAGCATCCGCCAGAGTGGCTTCAGGAGCAGTACGCGGCGCACAACAGGAGGGTTCGAGCGAGTGTCCCAGCAGGGAGCTTGCTGGAGTTCAACGTCAAGGAGGGTTGGGGTCCTCTGTGCGCATTTCTGAGTGTTCCAGTGCCTGATCGGCCGTTCCCCCGTGTAAACGACTCCGCCTTCCTGAACAGGGCCAAGATGTTGCTATACATAGTTTGCTATTCCTGGATTCCGTGCTTATTCTTGTTGTTATACGGAGTTGTTCGCTGCTGTTGTATATGCCCCGCGGCGAAACGCAAATCAGCGTGAGCGGCCCGCGACACGAACGACGCGCACACTATGCCGCCAGCTTCACTACTGTGCTTGAGCTGACACTTTGAAGATCACACTTGCACATTCGCAGCTTGCGTGCCTCCCATCTTTGCTGGTATCTGTGGCTCTGAGACGGCAACGGCTACAATGGTGTGTCATGTGCGAGATGAAGTGCCATCTCACTTGTAAGGCGGGTGGAGCCAATCATCGCAAAGTATTGCCGTCGTATGGTCGCTTCGAGACGCAAACCACCTCGAGCTCAGCATCATATAGCCTCGAATCGAAGTGCAGACGTGTACACATGGGCGCGCACTTGTCTGTTCGTCTGTCCCTGCTGCCAGGCGCAGACCCGAATGTGTTCTTCGGGAAGTATGGTCAGGATCGTTTCTGTAGTGTGCCGCCCAGCCAGTTCTGGCCCACAACGCTCTTGCGCGACACGCTGAGCACGTCCAAGTCCCCAAGCATCAGCTTGCCGACTTTTTCGCAGTCCTCCGCCCCAGAGAGGAGCGACACGATATCATCTCGCAGGGCATAGTCGGGGTTGCCGCCGCGGCACGCTAAACAACAGTTTCCGACCGTAAACCTCCGGACTCCATCCGCCGAGACGGTTTTTTTCAGTGCGCTGCCCCAGAGGTCCCGACCGCTTTACCGGGGGCAGTTTTGTTTGCCCTTCTCCGTCGCGCATCCATGTTTGAGCCCGCGTCCGCTCGCGCTTCAACGGGAGCCACTGTGGCCCCCAGGAGGGGCAGCGGAGTCAAGCAGGAATCGGAGCGTGGGCTCAGCTCTCTTGGCGGTCAAGTCAAGAGGCCGGCTGGGCCCGGGGCCCGAGAGTGGGAGAAGAGCCGGCGC